ATGGCATGTAGTGACCTTTTCTATGTGGAAGGTTATGAGATCGAATCTTAGTCGACATGTTATTGACTCTTTGTACTTCATTAAATTAACTTTTGAATTGTATTATACATACACTCATTAATTCTCTTTTCCAATATTAAAAATTAATTATTTATTTATTTGTTTTTTTTTTCCTCTTATACTACTAGCATAGGTATATTTCTTCACTTTTATTTACCACTACATTTTGAGCCCCTTTTCTTTGACCAGTCGTCTTCATTCTCATTCCTCAACTTAGACCGTTACCATGCTCAATTATATAAGCAAAATACTACTTTTATTTCCAACTTTTATCCTATCTGTTGACATTTTTCTTATGACCAACCAGACGTGGATGAGGGAGAAAAATTAATAGAGTCCCTCCATATAGTAAAACTCATTATATAATAAAAAATACTAGAGTTTTTTACACTTTTGGTCCCACGACTATGGTGTCACTAACAACTTTAATCCATGACTTTTAAAACTTGTAAAATTGGTCCACGGTTTATGACTTTCTTTGCAAATTTGGTCCATCCGATGCATTTTTCGTTCAATTTTTGCCAAAAAATTTACTACCCATTTTAACATGGGTAATATTGTCATTTCCATCTCACAAACTAATGACATAAATAAATAAATAAATAAACAGTTAAAAAATTTTGGCGTTTAGTGAGGAGGGTGAAACGGAAAGTGGAATTGAAATTGGGTGACTTTTAATTTCAATCACCGTACCCCTGATTGTGTTTAATTAATTAATTAATTTATTTATTTATTTATTTATTTATGTCATTAGTTTGTGAGATGGAAAATATAATATTACCCATGTTAAAATGGAGAGTAAAATTTTCCGGCAAAAATTGAACGGAAAATGCACCGGGAGGACCAAATTTGCTAAGAAAGTCATAGTCGTGGACCAATTCTACAAGTTTAAAAGTCGTGGATCAAAGTTGTTAGTGACACTATAGTCGTGGGACCAAAAGTGCAAAAAACTCAAGAATACTACTTGTACTCTCAACTTTTACTCTTTTCACAAATCTTGAATGTAAATAACTTTTTCTGGATTCACAAGATGAAAATGTTCTATTTATACTTGTCACATCAAAAGTATAATTGATGAAGTAGAATAGTAGAACTCATATAATAATGCTCGACGTGGTAAAAAAGGAACCATTGCATGTCATATGCCACGTAGAGACGTTAGCAAATGCAACGACGACTTTATACATGCATCTACTTTGCCTATATATATATATATATATATATATATATATATATATATGCATCTGTGCAATTTGGCTTCCTAGCTAATTAATACCAATAATTCTATTTTTTAATAAAAATATTTCTTATACCCAGTAGGTGATAACTTGGTTATTTATCACTTTTCTACGATAATTTTTGGTCTCCATAACATTTATCTTATCATGATTCAATTCATTGTCAAAAAATATATAAGTCAATGATTTGACGATTCATTTTGCAAGAGGGTTTGCTCATCTCCAGACTTCACCCACTTAAAGTATGTATTAGTTCATATTAATTTTAAGGACGGTATAAATAATTATTGCTAATTCATATATATATATATATATATATATATATATATGTATATATATATATATATAGGGCCGGATTTTAGGCTGTGCAAGCTGGGCTACCGCACAAGGCCCCCAATTTTAGAGGGACCCCAAATTTTAGAGGTTCAATATTTAATTTTTACCTAGCTAGTTTAGAAATAAAAATTAAAAGTTTTCAATTAAACTTAAAAGGTTTCATGAAGAGATGGTAAGAATGTGTATTTATTGTATTTTAACTTGGATGTTAAAGGTCCGAAACTTGCATGTATTGGTTTTAAAAATTATGATGTTGGTAGGGCCACATTTATTTACTAGAACAGGGTCACCAAAACTTAAAATACGGCCATATATATATATATATATATATATATATACCCACTTGTATAGTCTAAATTGTTTAAGCAAATATACATCCACTTTGACTACAATATGCATCTGGGCAATTTGGCTTGGTAATTAATATCAATAATTCTATTTGTAATAAAGATATTTCTTATACCTAAATCCTAATATGTGATTACTTAGGTATACTCTCAGGAAAGTTGGTCGAGACGAAACTTCCCTAATTCATGTGTTCTCATTTTTGAAGTAAAATCGTTTGAGAGATCTAAAGAGTAGTTTCACCTATGGATAAGGCTTTGAATAGGGTAAACTACGAATTGTTTATGTACTTTATGTGCTTTAGGAACTCTACAAAACACGAGTGGAGTAATAACTGAAGATCGAGTAATAATATGCATAATGTAACCTGAAAGTCACTAATTCACCTAAAAGGCACTAAATCATGCATAGCATATAATTCAGACCTAAAAGGCTCTAAATTTTTCTTAATGAACATGCTTTTCTACGGGCATAATTATAACAGTCAAATAATTATTGCAATAAAGAGATAAATAGCAATGCTCCGATTATGCATATTATTCACAAAATACTCCACAATTAAATTGCAACACTTAATACAATTTAAACTGAAAAACATTATTAAATTAAAATTCAACTGAAAAATTAAAACTGAATAATTATTCAAAGTTGAACAATAATTTAATAATAGATTTAATAAAAAATATTCCAATTGGATAATTTAATTAGAAGAAGTCCAAATATGATCAAGATGTTAACCTGAATGAATTGATGTAGTCCAAATATCAATTCAGGTTTGACCCAAAACCATAACAGGCCAAATTTTTTTTTTTTTTAATATGAGCCCAGGTTTGGCCCAATTGGGCCAAACCCGGCCCAATACCTTAATCTTCATCATCTTCCCTAATTCACTAACGTAGAAGCAACGCAAACAGAAGCAGACCAGGAGACCTGCGACGCTACATCATCGGCGAACAGCAACCATGGACGACGAACAATAGCCAAAAGGTCGTCGGCGTCGCTAATCGGAAAGCAGAAAGCAGCCTCGTCGCTGGAAAACCCAGCGCCGCCACCGCCAACTGGCCTCCACGCAACGCCGATGTCTGCCGCCGTCCGCCCGCCACAGTGCGAACCAGCCACCACCGTTGCCGTTGATTCGTCTCCACCACCGGAACAGCTGCCGGCGAGACAAACTGGAGGTCAAGCTCCAAACACCACCGGCGAGCAAATTCCGGGTGAGAAAAAAAAAATGGCGAAGCAGTAGATAGCTTAATATCCAATTTTAATTTTTTTTTTTGTTTCTTAATGCAGAATAAACCAAAATTTCCAGCAGTCCAGACAATTTAATTGCGAACCAAAGAATATTCACCATATGTAATTGAATTATACAAATATGTATACAACATATGCAAATATTATATGCAATTAAACGAACTAGGCAGAGATTATTTATGGCGACTGATACCAACTGTTAGACTAAAATATCACATGCATCATATAATATGTGATAACAGGATCGACTAACCTCCAGCCATGGTTCTTGGTACGGTTGAGCGATCCGGACTGCTGCAGAGATAACGAGTATTTTGTCTCTCACTTTACTCAACTCTCTCTAGATGGTGTATGAGGTATGTAGTGTGAGCAGTGAGAGGACTAGTGACCTTATATAACCATTGGCCATCATTGTGGTTGATTGTCTTTAGGTCTCCTAAATCCTAACCAGACTCCTAATCATAATGGTAGTCTAGCTATTAGGTTATTAGTGTTGCACCACATATCAAATACTGAATATTATCATAACTTATCCTAATGTTATAATAATAGTAACGGATAAACGTTACAAAACGAACATAAATAAAAAATTTTAGAGCTCGATTCATAAATGAACAGAGTTTGAATAGTTGTAGGCTCGTTTGCTAAAGACTCATGAACAAACTCGTTTGGTGGTCGTTTAAAAATGTTCACGAACAAGCTCATTTAATAATGTTTACGAAGATGTCAATAAATAAGTATGTATAGACTCGTTGTGTTGTTTGTTTGTTAAGCATATATATACACATCCACTTGTATAGTCTAAATTGTTCAAACAGATATACATCCACTTTGACTACAATTTGCATCTGGGTAATTTGGCTTCCTAATTAATATCAATAATTCTATTTGTAGTAAAGATATTTCTTATACCTAAATCCTATTAGGTGATTACTTGGTTATTTATCACTTATCTATGATAACTTTTTGTCTTTATATACTATTACAAATAACACTGTTAATGTTGGTTTTTTTTTTTCGACATCATTCTAGCAGAAGTAATAAATAAATGATACGACGTCGGTTTAGCTAAAATTGACATCGTGTGTGTGTGTGTGTATATATATATATATATATATATATATATATAGGTTCAGTTGCGGTGGGCAGTCCCATGTGCGATTGTGCGGTTAAAATAGAGCCATTGGTTATACTTAAATCAACGTCGAAGATTACAAAAATTTTAAAAAAAAATGCGGTGGCAATTTGGTAATTTTTGTATCTAGATCAAAATTAAGGTGAGTGGCTTTGTGATTAAGGTGCGTGAGTTTTGTATATAAGGTGCGTGAGTCTTGTGCGTAAGGTGCGTGAGTTTTGTGATTAAGATGCGTGAGTTGTGTACTTACTGGTAGTAGTTGTTGAAACTTAAGGTGCGTGAGTTTTGTGGTTAAGGTGCGTGAGTTTTGTGCTTAAAGTGCGCGAGTTTGTGCTTAATGTGAGCCGTTGTTGAAACTTAGGTGCGTGAGTTTCCTTCTTAATGTGCGTTGTTTTCATACTTAAGGTACGTCAGTTGTGTGAAACTTAAAAACTTAGGTGCGTAGTTTGTGTTCTTAAGGTGCTTTGTTATGTATGCTTAAGGTGTATGGTTTGTGTTCTTATGGTGTGATTTGTGTTTTTAAAGTGTTTTGTTTGTGTCCTTAATGTGTGTGTTGTGTACATAAAGTGCTATATGTGGCTAGTATTATATTTAGTTATTTCTCAATTTTATTTTCGTTCCTATAGACTAGCGTAGATGTAACTTCCTGCTAGTTCTCCTCTCTTGTATAGTACTTATAAAATAGTGTATTTCCTTCTTCGTTGAATTAAAGTAATAATGTTCAACGTGGTTTAGAAAAACCATTGCATGTCATATGCCACGTACGGAAGCTAGCAAATGCAACGACGACTTTATACATTTACTTTGCCTATAAATATATGCATCTGTGCAATTTGGCTTCCTAGCTAATTAATACCAATAATTCTGTTTTTAATAAAAATATTTATTATACCCAGTGGTGATAATAACTTGGATATTTATCACTTTTCTAACATTTTGTCTCCATAACGTTTATCTTATCATGATTCAATTCATTGTCAACAAATATATAAATCAATTCAAAAATTTGATTCAATTTGCAGGAGGGTCTGCTCATCTCCAGACCTCACCTCACTCAAAGTATTTTAGTTCATATTAATTTTAAGGGCTGGTATAGATATATAATTATTGTTATTGATTCAAGGAAAAAATTTATATATATATATATATATATATATATATATATATATATAATAAAGTAATGGTGCAAACTTAAGTTATTGTGTGCACATGTAGACTCCATTTGGCCGTGCATTTAGGCTGATCGATGTGCAGATTACACACATCAGTGCACCACATTAATCCACAAGTTTACACAGTAACAGTGGTATGCACCAAAAAATTAGTATATATATATATATATATATATATATATATATATAATATTTATGAAAATGATGACTTTGTTCATTTTTTTACTTGATTTCTTATTTATTACATTTTGCAGATTAGTGATTTAGATTTGTTCATAAATTTTCACTGGTTCTCATATATATACATCCACTTGTATAGTTTAAATTGTTTACCCAAATATACATTCACTATGACTACAATATGCATCTGGGCAATTTCGCTTAATATCAACAGTTCTATTTGTAGTAAAGATATTTCTTATACCTAATAGAAAATAACTTGGTTATTTATCATGATAACTTTTTAATATCTATGATAACTTTTTTTCTCCATAATATTTTCTTCTTCTTCTCCCAAAAGTCCTTATCATGATTCATTATCAACAAATATATAAGCCAAAGGTTTGAATTTTGTCATGAATAATATTCTTCAAAATGTCATGTTAATTTCCTGGAATGATTCCCTTTTAAATTAGGGAATGATACTTTTAGAGATAATCGAATTTCATAGTTGTGTTTTAAAAAATTGTCAACCAAACACTAACTATGATTTTGAATTCATTTCCTAATTCCTAATGTGTAAACCCATGAATCAAACATACCCTTTCTAACTATGTTAGGTTAGCTTAGTTGAAAATTCGAAAAATTTTAACAATGAAACTTCTTTCTTATTATATTGCGATATCCAACAAAACTTTACACATTTAACACATTCCTGACAATATTCTTCTTCATAAATTGCACAGCAAACTCCGGCGGAGGTTCCTCCATGTCATTCCACTTACTCAATTGTCTAAATGCCAACCTTGTTAAAAGATCAACTACATGCATGGTTTTGCTCGTGGTAGACATGCTTGAGTCTTATCTCCCAGTTCTTGTTCATCCATCTTCTACAATTCTTATTAGAGGAAGAAAAGGAATATATGGAAAGGGCATAAATGTACTTTATGCCCTTTCCATATTTTCCTTTTCTTCCTCTAATAATTCTTAACGACAAACTGAATAGGACCTATCGGCACACCCATCCTTGAATCCAATCTACAACTTTTTTAGAATTTCTTGATGGATGGTGTAAATATGCTATTACCTAGAATATGGGTCAGATCGTATTGGGTCTTAGTATAATCTGTTAGTCTAAGTACTGAGTTAGCTTGGATAGCCGACGTGAGGTTAGAGAGTCCCGACCTTAAATGTAGTAGGTGAAAGAGGCTAATAGTATCTCATCCTAGACATAAATGCGATATTTTTAGAGAATGACAAGGAGACACATGCCGGGCTCTCGGCATGATTGACACGTGTCGCACATTCAGTTGGCAAGTTCGGGAACAACGCTTTGATAGCCACTGTGCTTAGATTCCTGATCGTCTACTAAGACGGGGTGGGTTAAAGCCCGAATCTTAGGTCTAAACCCTCAAGTAGTCCCCTTCGAGATGATCGTTCCAGCCTAAAATGGTCGGGATTGGTCCCTAAACAGTGAAGTGTTATTGCAGTCTCTAGTTAGCTCGATTGTCGCATTTAAATCGAGAAAGTCGAGATTGTGACCAGGTCAAAAATTTCCTATCAGCTTTGAATACACAGCCTTCCAAAAGCCTTGTTACATGCCAACTCCATCCCTTCATTAGATATACTATATGAAATATGTCCATCTCATTAAAGATGTCTTTGTTGTTAAATGGAGGGAATACGATCGATATATAGTGGCCTAAAACAACTCATATTCATTTTGGGTTAATCTTTCCCAAATCTCCTAATAAATTAAAAAAAAAAAAAAAAAACTAAAATAAGACGCGCGCCATTAAGATAAAGTTTCTTAAATAGTAGTCTTTTGACACGTTGGGCTTCAATAGGTTGAGAAAGTTTACATGTAACATGGTCAATTGAATAGTTATGCCGTGGAACCGTGTCCACCTTGCAAGGTGGACACAGTTCTATGTTCATAATTACTGAACTATATGTTCATTTTTATAAAGCTATATATTCATAATCTTTGAACTTCATATTCATAATTATTGAATTTCATATTCATAATTATTGAACTCTATATTCATAATTATAGAACTCTATGTTCATAGTTACTAAACTATATGCTCCTAATTATAAAGATATATATTCATAATTTTTGAACTTTATATTCACAATTATTGAATCTCTATATTCATAATTATATAACTATATGTTTATAATTATGTTCAAACAACACTATGTTCATAATTATAGAACTATATGTTCATAATTTTTGAACCGTGTCTACCTTGCAAGGTGGACACAGTTCCACGGCATAATTTGTCGGGTCAATAGTTCTAAAAAAAAAAAAGCATTTGGACTTCTCAATACTTGTCTACATTGATGGGCAAGCAATTATATGTTTGTAAGAGGAGCAATGCTCCTCTTATATAGAGGAGCTCAAGAGCTATCTTTCCAAACATTTTGAATGTGAGATCAAAATGATCTCAGATCATTTACAAAGGGGAGCCACCTTTGTCTTCTTCTTATTTTTTTTAATTTTAATTTTATTTTGTATAGTCTTGTTTGGATTATTATTGTTGTTATTGTTATTATTGTTGTTGTTATTATTGTTATTGTTATTGTTATTGTTATTATTGTAATTTTATTTTTTCATTATTACATTATTACATAGGGTTTTTATTATACTTGAACAATAATAT